GCGCATTCAGCTCGGCAAAGAACTCATGCTCTTCCTCAACACTGAAGTCCTCAGACATTTTTCTTCTGTTGTTTCTTTCTTTGCACAGGTAAACAGCACATTTCTTCTTCTACGCTTGCATTATCGGCAGAGCAGATGCTGAATGCGCACTAGATATAGGTCGCATATGGGCAAAAAAAAAATCGTTTTGGGTGACTTCAGGCGGCTTTGTGAACATAAGTAACTCAACAGACTTTTGTGGCGTTTCGACGCAGAAGCTAACACGCTGCAACTCACCGTGTGAAGTGGTCTACCATGGCTCCAACAAGCTCTCCCACTCGATCCTGGTTGGGGCACAGCTCGCCTTGCTGAAGACACAGTAGAACGTCATCCTGTGTGGACGTGTGGAGCGCCACCATCTGGTCAGTCCCACTGGTCACACTCAGCCCTGTGAACTGTGGAGAGAACAAAACATGTTTATCCTATGATTCCCTAAAAGTGTCAGACAATAACGAGCTCGTAGATGTGTTAAAAAAAATCAGCATTGGCACCACTGGCGCCATCAACCTTCTGTTAATGGCTTTGGAAGATGAATCCAAGGCCTTGAACTTGGCCATCATCAGGTCCTTTAAGTGTAGCTAATCCTGATGTAAAAGCAAAGCCCCGCCCCCAGGTAGAGCTTTAAAAATGGCACCAAAGCGACAGACGACAAAAGACACAGCCAAGTGTTGGGGATGATTGGAGGGGTACGGCAGTGGTGACGGCGAGGAAACCTGAGGTCAAGTTTGATACAAAGTACCTGAAATAAAATGACATGATGGCTAATGGCTGTTAAATGCTCAGATAAAAAAAGAATCCTGACCAAAATCCCAACTCCTGGCTCGCCATGATGGAACATGGTACGTTCCGTTTATACTTATGGCCCGTAAACAGTTCATCTAACCAAACCTAACAGTCTAGTGTCTAGCCTCACTTTCTCCGTCTTGCGCATCTCTTCCTTCGGCAGTTACGTTCCGCTGTTGTGTTGTTGAGATCCGTCCGTAGCATTCTGCAGCTTTTTAAACGGTCAGAAATGTCTGGATTTAAAACATTTTGTGACTCCGTCAGAATGATGAAGCAGCAGTTACTAATCTCCTTCTTTGAGTTCCAGTCGAAGATTATCCATTTTGTTTTAAAGTTTGAGAGCAGGATTGATGGAATGGTCTGTGAGGATATCTCTTTAGCTTCACAGTCGCTTTCTCCGTCTCAACATGTGTTGTGAATTGGCGTTATAGAAATAAACTGAATTGAGTTAATTGACCATTCAAACAGGTGATCGCTACTTTTTGCTCACAAGAGGCCGAGTTACGTGACCAATGGGCAGCCAAAAGTAGTGATCGTCTATCCAAAAGGTCAATTAAATAAGTTCACTATAAGGTCCACTATATGGTCCCCGCTCTATATAGTGATGGAAGGGGTTAGGGTGGACGTTCGGACAGCCATGGACCGTAGACATTACAGTAGTATAATTAAACTGCAGTAGCCAGGTTTCAACCCATAGAAGGCAGCGTTAAGGTGGTTTTAGGAAATTCTACACGAAGTTGTCAAAACTGTGTGTAGTAACATCTAGATGACCCCTTTATAGTCCGTTCTCTGTGTTCCAAATACCCTTTTGACATAAATCTGGTGTCTTCTGCCAGAAAACTTATAAAGTCAATTGAAGGTTCAACTTTCATATATTCTCTGTGCAGCAGCACTGAAAGACAATATAGATTAGAGTCAACATTCTTTCCAGAAGTGCCAATCAGTGATGTCTGGTGGAG